ATGGATCGGTCGTTTCTTGAGGCTGATGAATGTCTATTATAATCAATACAACATTGTCAATACATGGATGCTCCTATCTTTCACGACTCCATCTCTTTTTCCTTTCTCTCTTACATATAATCCTTGCTGCAGCTGGAATTTGCGAGACTGCGATGGGCATGTCATTGAATTTCGATCGGAACCTCCTTTTGTGGCGAGCGATGAGAGAATCAATCGTTTGCAACTTCTGGGTTTAGTCGTTTTGGGTTTGATCTTCCCTGCAGGTGAGCGAGAGCGATATTGGCTCTGCTCAATCGCATGACGCTGCTGCATCGCACGAAAAATTTGCGATGGGAAAGGATCGATGGAGTCGCAGCAGAGGCATGAGATTGAGCCGTGCCAATATCACTGGTGTTTTTCGCTTTGTGAGTGACGGATCTTCAAGCATATTCTAAAGGGACGGCCCAGATTGACGGACAACGGTCATCGTGTTAGGGCTCTTCATCTTTCACCGCGCGAGGCGATTCCTCCATCGGCACGCGAAGTGACCAAGAAATCTGTGATAGAACGAGGCGCTACACTGCCTGGTAGGAATCATATTGCATATTACCAGGGCGATTTCTATCGAGCGGAGTGGACGCATAGCTCGCGGCTACAGTTGTAGAGCACTCTATCGGCCATGAGCACGCCGCCGTCAAGGCGCTCCAGTGGCTTCTCTCCGCAGAGCATTGTCACAACGCTAGACAGAAGTTTGAGCCCCACGCTTATCACTCTCTCCACTTGTTCTTCGTCAAAACTTGGCCCAGGTGAGCTGACGATTCTCTCGTCTAGCAGCTCCGGTATCTTGTTCTATTCGTGTAACTTACAGGCCTGCGATGGGATCGCTCCAGCTTTCTCAAGGAGGAAAAAAGTTTTTTTCGATCACTCACCCATTCCAGAAGGTACTGGGTTGATCCCAATCCGTGCTCTTTCGACCACTCACGATTCCCAGGCTCAGGATTCCAAAGCTGAAAACATCTGCTTTGTCCGTCAAGAGGCACTCCGGTGCCATATATCCCCTGCAAAAACAAAGGTTTGCTCTCGTATCTGAAGAATGTGGTGTGACTTTGCTTACACAGTTCCTGCGATTTGTGTGTTGATGGATTTCTCATCCAAGTACAGTTTCGCCCAAAGTCCGCAATCTTTGCCTCGAACCGTTTGTCCGAAAGTACCTTCCCGGCTTTGATGTCTCTGTGGATGATTTTTCTCTGGGAATCCTGGTGCAGGTAAAGGAGTCCTCGAGCTACATCTAAGATGATATTGTATCTTTGCTCCCAGGAAAGGCAAGGTTCTCCTGGATCAGCCGGTACGTAAGTGGAGCATTGTCAAAAGCTTTCAAGAGATGGGCTTGGCCCTTACCAAACAGGACTTTGGCCAGGCTGTTGTTCTCCAGGAGCTCGAACACCAGCAGCCTTTAGATTCCTCGGTGCCGTATAGCTTGACCAGGTTCCGGTGCTGGACACTGCTTACAAGCCGGACCTCGTTGAGGAACTCGTGTTTTCCTTTTCGCAACTCCGTGGTAGGTCTTTTGATGTCTATCTTTCTACCGTCTTGCAGAATTCCCTGATTAAAGATCTTCTCGATCATACAAAACTTTTCCCAAGGCAAGTCACTGCTCACCTTGTAGACCACTCCACATGTAGTTTTTTATCATCGCTGAAGGCTGCTTTCATGGGTAGATGGTTGCTCCCTGATGAATGCTCGTCCTTGTCCAACAAATTATAGAAAACGAGCTTCGAGGTAATAGTTCTCTTTCGTAGCAACGTACCTACGTTGACGCAAGTCCTTCCAGGATTTAAGTATCGGTGCTTGATCCTCAGGCAGCAGAATATCATAATTCCCAGCGAAACAGTCCCACCCGTGGCGACGCCGAGCACCATCTTGAGAATCGTCTTCCTGCTGCCTCTGGATCCGGATTCACGACTGAAGCTGCTGTAGAACAGGAAGGTGTCGAAACGAGCATAGCAGGTCTGGAAGAGGATGAAACCACTGGCACTGTGAGGACACCTCTCGGTGCAAGTTCTTCGTCGCGACGGCCATGCAAGTGTTACACTGCTCGGCGCTCATGTCCCGTCGACACTCGCGCAGCCCGAAGACTCGCGACTTGCCGTCTCCAGAAGTGACAGTGGTGGAAGATCCATGGCTAGACAACACCACCATCGCGGAGTTTACATTCTGGCCATTATACAATAGTCTCGTCCAGGACGGAGAAGAAAGGATGGTTATCGTAGATGAGGTAGCAGCCGTAGAGGAGGATCCGAGCTTCAAAGCTTCCGGGGCTGGCGGCCTGGGCTGCGTCTTGGTCACAGGAATCTCGGGACAGGTCCTGGCGGCACTGGAGGACTCCGTAAGCTGTGAGTTTGCCATCGCGGCTGGGAGCGGAGCTCCGGAAGTGACCGGTGAGGGGGGCAGAAATGCGAGAAGATCGTCGAGAGCGGTGGAGTAAGAGAGAAGAAGTGGTGGTGCTCTGGAGTACTTCTCTCGGCCACAGTTCCAGCACGAGGACTCGATCAGTGTGGCAAGCGTTTGATGGTGGTGGGAGAAGATGAAGCTTGTGAGGAGGAGCATGGTGTGGAGGAGCGTCATCTCATTGCGTGAGTAAATTGATATCGTTGACAAAAGGAAAAGATTTTTAGGTTCTTCGTTAAATAAAGATTTTACTCTTCGCTCATTCTCGTTAAAGGTTTTAACTTAAAGATTTTTAGGGTTGTTCGATCATCGCGCCGAGGAGATGCATTGCGACGAGTGGAGTTCCTGGCTGCTGTAGCTCGAGTTTAGCGTGTCCGCCTTGAGCACTCCATCGACGAGCTCTACCATCGCCGGCCGCGACACTTTGCCCAGCTTGGCCTCTCCACAGATCATCGTCACGACTCGTGACATGCTTGGGCGCTGCGATGGCGTAGCTTGGGTGCACAGGAGCCCAACGCAAATCACTCTTATCGCTTGCTCCTTGTCAAAGCTTGGAGGTACAGTGTTGAGTCCCGCGTCTACAAGGTCCAGTTGTTCGTTCCTTTCGTGTGACTTCCAGGCCTACGATGCGAGAAAAACTCTTTCGATCCAAAAAACGAATGAAGAATGCGATCGCTACTCACCCATTCCAGAAGGTATTGTCGCTCGATCGGTTGATTCAAGTCCGTGCTCCTTCGTCCACTTACAATCTCCAGGCTGAGGATCCCAAAGCTGAAAACGTCTGCTTTGTCTGTGAGGTGGCCGTGGAGTGCGTACTCCGGTGCCATGTATCCCCTGCAATGCGGTAAGAGATTGTGAAACTTTCTCAAGAGATTTGTTCTTACAGAGTTCCTGCGATCTGAGTGTTGATAGATCTCTCGTCCGAGTACAACCTTGCCAGGCCAAAGTCTGCGATCTTGGCCTCGAACTTTTCGTCGAGAAGTACGTTCCCTGCCTTGATGTCTCTGTGTATGATCTTTACCTGCGAATCCTCGTGCAGATAGGCAAGGCCTCGAGCTACACCAAGGATGACATTGTACCTTTGCTCCCACGAGAGACAAAGATTTCCTGGATCACAGGTAACTACTTAGTTCGTGATCTTTTCAAACTTTCACGAAGCACGTACCTTGAAACAGGACTCTGGACAAGCTGTTGTTCTCGAGAAGCTCGTAAACGAGAAGCCTTTCGGATTCCTCGGTACAGCAGCCGTATAATTTGACCAAGTTTCGATGCTGGACGCTGCTAACAAGCTTAACTTCGTTGAGGAACTCCTGCTTTCCTTTTTGGGACTGCGTCGTGAGCCGCTTGATGGCTATTCTTCTTCCGTCTGGCAAAGTGCCCTGCATTTCTTCGAGGTAAACGAATTTGGAACTCTACATAGTTTTTGCTTACCTTGTAGACGACTCCGAATCCTCCCTGGCCTAGTTTGTTGTCATCGCTTAAGGCTGTTTGTGGCTGTTTTCAGTGCATGATACGAGAAGATGGTTGCTCCGTGTGTGAATGTTGGCTTGCAAGTCGAGAT